CCGCCCACGTGACCCAGCCAATCAGCTAGATGTTGCTGGGGCCGAGGAGCCAATCAGCTAGATGTTGCTGGAGCCGCTGTGAGCCAATCATCAGCCAGCAGCTGGAAGTTTGCTGGCAGCTGGAAGTTTGCTGGGCCCCCTTTGGCTGTGGCTCTCAACAGGAGGAATATAAAATACTACTGCTGCTTTGGAAAGCAGTCTGGTATTTCTTCAAGAAGTAAAACACAGAATTACAATGAGAAACAATGTCATTTGTAGTTACGTACACAATAGAACTGAAAACATGTCAATGCAAAAACTTGAACACAGATGTTCACAGAAATATTATTTATAATAGGTAACTAGTGAAAACAATTCAAATTGCAATCAACTATTGCATGGATGAAGAAAATGGGCTTTATACACACAATGAAATATTATTCAGTCATAAAAAGAAAAAAAAGCTGCTGACTAATATTACAAAATAATTGAATTTTGAAAACACTAAGGTATATGGAAAAAGCCAGATAGGCCAAATGTTATGATTCCACTAATATGTAATTACCTGAATAGACTATTCTGTTCACCATAGAGACCAAAAGTTTATAAGTGGTTGCCTCTCAGGAGGTGAGAATGGGAAAGGACTGCCTGAAAAATATGGGGTTACCCCCAGGGAGTGGTCCGGGTGTTTAGAACCAGGGAGAAGTAATGACCATATAACTACTTTGTATACTATAACAATTGAACAGTATAATTGAAAACTTCGAATTTTATGGGCATATGAACTTCCTCAAATTTTTAAAAAAATAAAACTCTCCATAACAAGTTTCAATAGCCTTAAATTGATTTCCCTCATGAAATGGCTACAAAAGGGCATTTTTATTTCAACCAAGGGTCTTTCAAATACTATTAAAAATAGCACAAGACAGTTTTAATGACTCAGATTTTGGTTCATGGTTAAGTGATGATTTAGTAGACTAAATATAATAAAAATATTCATCTATATAATAGATTTTTTAAAAATTATTAACCTTTAATTGTCATCTTATAAAATATTTTTAAAAGTGAATATATATAAACATATATAAACTAGCAAAATACATTGATTTGGGGCTGGGGATATAACTCAGTTGGTAGAGTGCTTGCCTCACAGGCACAAGGCCCTGGGTTCACTTCCCAGGACCAAAAAAACCCCAAAAAACCCTACATTAATTTAAACTTAGACAACACTAAAAAAGAAGAAACTATCCTTTTGCAAACTAATAAAATAATGGAGACAGATAATGATCACCAGTGAATTTTAAACCATCACATGAAAGTTTTCTGGGTGGTTAGATCAAGTTGACAGCTCCTAAACACATTTAGCATCGCTAAAATTAGAGCCAAGAATATACTGTGTGCTGGTCATAGTGGTAAACATCTGTAATCCCAGCTACTTGGGAGGCTGAAGCAGGAGGATGGAAAGTTTGAGGCCAGCCTGGGCAAATCAATAAGACCTTGTTTCAAAACAAAAAAGGGCTGAGATGAAGCTCAGAGAGAGCTTGCCTAAGATGCATGAGGGCCCTGGGTTCATTCTTAGTATGCTCCCACCCCTAAATGATAAATGCCAGTGTAGAGAAGATACAGGGTAAATAAAGGAGAAGAAAATTAAGCCAAAGAATAAGGATGAAATCACCCAAATCTAGAATGTGGGAAATTTCACAGAGAAAACCATCTGGTCATATAACAAATGAATTCCTGAAAAGAGGGGGAAAATATTACACATAAAAAGAAGCTTGTGAATCATAAAATTTATTATCCTAACTGGGACACTTTCAAGAGAGAAAGAAGTTCTATTTAATAATTATGCCAGAACAAGCATAATCTGGAACCATTTCATTCAAGAGCTAGATCAGATGTAAACTGTGTTTGCTTTCTTTAAGTCATTATCTTTTCCCATGTTTGTGTTTAAATAAGATCTTATCAGGGAATTTCAATAGAGTTTGAATAGTAAATGATATGAAAGCATTCTTGCTTTTAGGTGTTTGAACATTTTTACAATGTAAAATGTCTTAAAATGCTTCACATCATCCACCATGGCAGAAGGCAATTTTGGCTTTGACTTCCTTATGATGACAGATACACTCCCACAACTCTTAGTTGCCAAAAAAATATTGGTTAGGCTTCGTCATAAACTAGAAATCTCAAAGGGAAATCTTTAAAAGAAAAACAGCTGGTTTTGGTTCAAAAAAATGTAAAAATCACTTTTTGACTTTCCCACTGCAAAATGTTCTCAGTGTTCTTCCCTGGACTCACAGTGGGTGGTTATGGTGAGTGTGGACAGAAGGATTTGTAAGAACTTGGTGATGAGGGGGTCACAAATCTTTAACCATGCAACTGAATTAGCAATCCCAGAGATTATTCTGTTTTTGGCACAATTTTAACTTCTAACAGCCATAAAATAAAATTTACTTAAGGGATAGACAAAACTTCAAAAGGTTTTTCTTGCTTAAGTCTCCAATGCCAGTGGATAGTGTCTGATTTAATCATGTATTTAATTATTTTGGAAAATTGCTCTAAGTATGCAAAGACTCAAGTTAAAGCATCTCTTGGTAATTACACCTTTACCCAATACAAGAAAAACAAAAGTGTACAACTAGACCTTTAACATGTCTTTATATTTGAAGCATATCTTTTTTGTGTATGTGTGTGGGGTGTTGTGTATCAAACACAGGGCCTTAAGTGTGATAGGCAAGTGCCCTATCACTTAGCTATACCCCAGACCTGACATGTGTCTCTTAGTAATTTTGTGCTTGCCAAGATATAAAACTATTTAAAGGAGTTAAAAAAAAAAGATCCCCTTTTGAAGTCAAGCATGATGGTGCATGACTAATCCCAGTGGTTTAGGAGGTTGAAGCAGAAGGATAGCAAGTTCAAGGCCAGCCTCAGCAACTAAGCAAGGCTCTAAACAACTTATTGAGACCCTGTCTCAAAATTAAAAACAAATAAACAAACAAATAAATAAAAAGGGCCGGAGATATAGGTTAATGGTAAAGCAAGCCTAGGTTCACACTCTAGTTTTTTTTTTTTTTTAAAGATCACTATTTGAAACTCTGGTCCAATCATTATCAATGGTTTCCATATGCAAATGAACAAAATTTAGGGAAGTTCTTAACATGAAAATTTCTCTCTTGGGGCTGGGGTTGTGGATCAGCGCACATGTGAGATCCTGGGTTCGATCCTCCGCACCACATAAAAATAAATAAGTGAAATAAATAAACTAAAAAATAAAATAAAAATACACACTAAAAAAATTCTCTATATGTCAGATTTCATTCAGGAAAAGGCATTTATAGGAAATCAAAGAAATATCTTCAGGGAAAAATACCAGAGATGGGCTGAGGTTGAGGCTCAGTGGAAGAGCACTCACCTATCATGTATGAGGCCCTGGGTCTGATGCTCAGTACCATGTATAAATAAATAAAATAAAGGTATTGTGTCAACCTACAACTAAATATATATATATTAAAAAATACCAGAAATACATGAAATTAATGACAAATGAATATAAAAGTTTGCATCAAACTTTAGTTAATTTAGGGCTGAGGATGTGGCTCAGAGGTTAAGTGCCCCTGATTCAATCCCTGGTTTAAAAAAAAAAAACCCAATAAACCAAAAAACAACAACCACCACCACAAAAAAACTTCAGTTAATTTAAATGTAACCACAACTGTCATTTTCATAAGAAATCCTTTAGTGATTCATATCTTCAAGCCATCAAGTTTAAGAGGAATTCTGCTTTAAAAACAATGTAGTGTTGCTGAATTCCTGAGAACCAAATGCTACTATCAATATCAGCCCAAGATGTCTTAATTTTTATTTTCATTCTGATTAAATGTACTTCCACACACTTTTTTCCTACAGGACTAAGAAATTAGTGTAGATTGAAAAGTATTTTATGCCTAAAGTGGTTCATCATTAGGTTACAAGTCATGAGTTAGGAACTGGCAACTTGTGCCTTCCAATTAATGATTTGTAAGAGTGAACTGATGTCAGTTAAGTACACAGTATGAAATTTTGGGATCATAGCCATCATAGAAACCCAAGTCATCCTTTTGGAAGAATAACTTTCTTAAATACATTATTAATTGATGATTTGACCCCTATGACCCAAAGAGACAACCTGTGTTAATAATGTTAATAAAGCCATAAAAATTAGTTCAGTCAGCAAACACACACATTTGATCAGTAATGGGTTGTTGCAATGAATTGAATGAGTACTTCCATAAGCTCAGCAAACTAATTTGTAGTTTGGTGGTTGCAGAGTTAGACTAAAGAAAGTGAAAAACTGAAATTATTTTTGAACCAACTACTGATTTGAGCATAGTACCAAGAACCTTCCTATATTTTAGTGTTATGTAGGAATAATATATAGCATAGGTATACTAAAACTGAAACTCTTTTGAAGCAACAGATTTGACTTCCTGTCAAGTGGAGAAAGTTAACCAAATATTAACAACTGAATGCACTAAATATATTTAGCCACATACTCTTGCTATCCTATTCCAAATTTCTATGTTCTTGGAAAATAATGTTAAATCTATAGTCTGTAACTTCTCAATTATATATTAGCAGCAGTAAAAATGGAAGCAATTTTGATTACTATTGCAGAAATAATAAACTAGATTTTATGAAGTAAAACTAAGCTTGCTAATGTGGTAGCCAGGCATAAAAGAGCATTTGGAGCATAAGATGTACACATTTTCAAGTTTATGGTGTATTTGAGGCCATGTGGGTACAGATAATTGGATTTCTAATAAACTGCTCCTAACTAATGTATATACTGTCTGAATGTACAAAATGTTAATGAATAAATCTCAAATTATTCATGTTAGCAAATAATAGTTTAATTCCCTGATTATGACATATGCATTTTAGTCCCCACTTTAAAAATGCAAGTTCAACTCTCTTCCACTAAGCCCAAAGTTAGGCTTTTCTACCAGTGGCCTCAGAGAGGGGAAGAAGTCTGAAGTGTCACTTACTCCTCATTCAGGGCACAACGACGATTAGTGAACGCGCCATATTTCCTCAGTGTGCTGGTTAGCTCCACGTAGAGTGTGTCAGCCAGAGACAGCGGAATTGCTTCCCACACCAGGATGAGAATCACAATCACTGCAGCCTCACAGGTGTGGCCAGCTCGCTCACGCACCAAACACAGGAGCTTCTCCTCAAGGCAGCTTCTGCGAATCACCTGTGAGGTTCACCATTGCACCACCCCACCACCAAAAAAAAAAAAAAAAACAAAAGCCCAAAACAGTAAGAGCATTGGTTTATGTATCTTTTTTAATGTCTCAGTCAAAATTAGGGCAACACATCTATACAGTGGGGGCTACTGATGTCAGAAAAGGGAGAAAAGCAAAAATAGTCCTTAATGTTTAGCAGACTATTCCCAGTTTGGGATGGGAGAAAGGAGGCAAGAAACTAAGTGCCATCTGAGTTAAACTCAGAGCTACAAAAAAGATACGCAGGGTCTTAGTTCAAGGTTTTCATAAATGACACTAGGGTATTTTAAAAACTAAGAACCAGACAGGCACGGTGACCCATGCTTTTAATCCCAGCAGTTTGGGAGGCTAAGGCCCTGTCTGGAAAAAAAAAAAAAGACTAAGAATCATTTTTCAACTTGTCATTTATTCACATTCCAAGGAGGCAATACTTCTTTATGTAAGCAACAGCAAAGACCTCCACCTCACCACTGAATTCTTCCAATTGATATGGTTTGCTCATGATTTTATAATTAATCTGCCTTCTCCTTAAGTAATGCACTTCATAAAATAAATATAGTCAATATTACAAAAGGGAAAAAAAAGCGATGTTCCTGTCAAATGGCATGACCTTTTTAATCTGTGCACCCCAGTTCTCAGGGTTAGATTAACTAATCCAAATGCCCAAGACTGAAGATCAAAGGCGATGTAAAGTCATACTTACCCATTTGGCAATAGGACATCCCTGAGAACTTTTGCCTTCTTTACCAGTATAGATGACTCTTTCAATCCTAATAGCTCTACCCTTCTCTCCATACCTTAAAGAAACCCACAGAAACACACACACACATAATTAGCAAATGACTTAAGCGGCAACCAAAATATTTGAAACAATTGTGATTTTATTCTATGACCATATCCTGAGAAATGAATGGTTTAAAATTTAAAATTTTAAAATAAGTCTAAGCCAAGCAAACTAGATATCAGCTTTAAGTCTTGTTTTTCTTACATATCAAAATATAATATAATAAAACATGTAATGAAGTATTTTGTAATTTACATGTTAGGTGAAAATAATGGGAAACTTATTTTTATACATAATTTCACAAAGCACACAGTTAGTCGCTAAATTCAGTCTTCTAAAACATATACTATTTGATTTTGTTCTTTTCCAAATTGAGCTATTTTAAAACTTGAGGAAATCATAATAGATTTCACCTGCTCTAACAAACAATCCAGCCATTTATGAAAATACAAGATGGTTCTAGAAACAAGACTATTTCCCTTTATGACCAAAGCATGTATACTGCTTGCAATTTTTTTTTTAAACATGTAGATTAATTCACTACTTCTGCCAGGCCACTGGTGATTATTTGGTGAATTACTACACATTATTTAGAAATAAATATTTGGAAATATATCAAGAATGATACTGAATTTGTCCTTGTTGCCTAAATGTATCCTAATATATTTTCATGATAACACTGCCTACCTCTAATAACAAGACACTCAGTGGGATAACAGCTCAGAGCTGAAGATACCTATAGGAAATGTCTCACAAGCAGGAGTTAGCTGTAGGTACAGGAAAATACTTGCATACATGTGATTCACAGTAAAAATGAACAACAAAAGAACAAACAAAACAAAGCAGCTACAAATGGAATCTGTCTTTCTATTCAACTTGTCATACTGGTTCTCTGTTCATAAGAGAAAACTTCCTTAGAGATAACTATCTGCTTACAACACAAGGTAAATGTATTGCAATGATTCTTTTTTTTCACTACTTCCCCTCTTTACTCTCTGATGCTTTATCATCAAGTGGGAAAGCTGGAGTGGGGTCCCTCTTTGCAGCCTGTGCCAGTAACCTTGTGCCTGGCAGGCTGGCTGGCTGGTTCTTGTTCCTGCCTGGGTTTTCTGGCATTCATCTCAAAGTGGGCAGCCTGTGCCAGCTAACAGACTATTAGTCCTGTCAAATATTGTGACTCTCTGGTGAATAGCACAGTGTGTAGTGTTGGCAACCCTGGAACAGCTAAGCCTACTAATAATTACTCGATTTGCAATTGTTTACTGCTTTGTGTGTGAAGGCTGAAAAAATTCTGACATATACAAAAGGATAAACGTTAATCTGCCCTGTGCCTTTGCGTTAATTACCTTTCTTCCATGATTTCTCTAATAGCTGCCACATTAGGACCTGCTCCTAGATGGGTATAAAAAGGACCTTCATCTTTTTCAATAATTTGCTCTGTTGAGATAATAGAAGATTATTATTTTAGACCTCAATTATACTAAATATAAAGGCTACATCCACAAAGATTATCCCCCAGATGCACAATAAGGGCCCTAAGTGACTTTAAAAATTTTTTTCTTTAAAATTAATCAAATGATGTACTATCTATTAGAAAATGTGCCAAATAATTAAGTTTATGTACATGATGGCTAATGGAAAAATTATCAAATTACATTTTAGATATGGTATAAGAAATTATTTTAAACCAAATAAGTGAAACAAAACAATAAAGAAATTAGACTATATTATATGTAATACCAACTACAACTGAAATTTCTTAAACTGAAAAAAATTTTTAAAGCTAACTAGAAGCTACCTGCCATTTGGATATTAAAAGATTATAAATAAAATTTGCTGTTCTGGCCCACCCCCAGAATATATTCATTTTATTTCCAAGAACCCCTTTTTCTGCTCATTTCCCCACATTTAATTACTGTTTTGACAATAAGAATGTTCAACCCAACCCATATCTGTGTGTACATTAGAGTCAGGTGGAAGGGGTGGTGGCGAGCCAAAGATGGAAGAGTGAGAAGCCAGGATCATGGTGATAAGGGAGTGAAATGATCATAACTTACCTAGTATTATCTATGACACATGTAGCATTTAGCCCAGTGAGAAAACTTAATAACCACACACAAAGAAGGGCAGGATGGAGCCTTTCTCCATCAACCTACAGAGTATGGGGCAGATCCCAGTAAGAGTGATAACATGGGTGGGTGGGCCATTAGCCACACTAATTCACATACATTTGCTTTTTCAAATGTCTTCTGCTATATGTTTGCTTAATAGCTATTAAGATTTTCTCTGCCCACATATGTATATGTATCCATCAGTTAAAATGTTTTCTTATTCTCACAGACCTATAAACATTCTGTATTTTAATAGAAGGTGTCTGTTTAAAAAAGTGAAATTACCATTTTTATAAAAAACATGAAAGGTTAGGGCTGGGGATGTAGCTCATTGGTCGAGTACTTGCCTAGCACGTGCAAGGCCCTGGGTTTTCCCAGCATTGGAAAAAGAAAAAAAGAAATAAAGGTTAAAGAGAAAATGGAATCAAAATCAGTATAAAACACAATGTTTCAAGTGTTTTAATGGAAAAGGGGTATTTTCACTAGTGCTCAGAGTTTGGCATTATAAATTCACCGACTCATCAACACTAAAGATAATTGCCTCATTATCCAGATATCCAATCATAATTTTGGAAAAACTATCCAATAGTACTAGTAGTCTATATACTATATAATTATACTACATAAAAACCACTATATACTCAATCTTGAATTTTCAAAAATGAAAGGTTTCTAAATTCATTTGATTGTGGCAGTTATTTTCTCACATTAATGATTGTTTTTTTAATTATACATGTCTCCCCAGGAAATAATTATTCATATAGGTGGATCAACCTAAAACTGATACATTTTTATTTTAAAGGGTCTGAAAGAAGGGAAAACAAATGTTCTCATTATTTAAAAAAAAAAAAAAAGCTTCTTTTTGTGGGGGGGGGACAGTGCATGTAAATGAAGTTTTCTCTTGCATAGCAGAAGCATCTGTAATTTAAAGACAAAAAAAATTTAAGCTTCAGATTTTTATGAGCTTTATGAATTGCTCCCAGATTCAAGTACTTAAAAAAAGAAAGAAAATCCCATATCTGAAGATCATTTGCTAATTCTGGATAAACACCATGTGCTTCAGGACATTTCTGGCACTTACCTACACATCTGCATGATGGGAAATCATATTGAGTCTTGACAGGTGTATCCAATAAATTTTTTACAGGAGTATCTAGTAATTTGGAAGGTGACTCTATAAAAGTACCCAGAAGAGAACCACCTGTTCTTTTGGTTGGTGTCTTTTCTGAAGTTGTGGGCTGCTCTAAACCTGGGATATGGTTATCAAGATCGGCAGCAGTGGTTTGTCTAGTTAAAACTGTGATGGACCCTGACATTTCCACTTTTACTTGTTTCTGTGATTTGAGACTAAAAGCCTTATGGTCAAATAATGATTTGACCTGAAACTGCTTTAGATGCTGCTCCATGGTCTCAATGATGCTCTTCTGCTGAACATTGTCACAGCTTGGAGATGAAATCTCTTGCTTAGTTATTTTTTTCCATGTTTTGTTTTCTTGCTGTGCTGACACAGGCCGCATACAGGCATGGGGCTTGGATCCAGGTTCAATCTTAATTGGCCTGTGCACCTGATTATGGCAAGACTCAGGTTGGGTTTGCTGCGCTTGCTGCTGTTCTTGTTTGTGTAAGAGGTGCCACCTTAGTGCAGCGTGCTTTTGAACGTCCTTCTGGGGAGGGGTCTGAATGTGACTTCCTCCCTGGTCAGGCACTGGGAAAGTCTTTGCCTGGTTTTGCATCAAGTACCTTTGCTGAACTACTTGTACAGCTTGTTGTCCAGATATATCTTGGTTTCTGTTTTTAAATCCCTGTAGAACTGAAGCCTGTTGAGACTTCTGCTCTTGTTCTTGAAAGCACCTATGAAGAATATTTTGCTTTGGGGTCACATTATTTGGAAAATACTGCATGTGATGCAAGTTTGGGGTCTTGTTCATTGTAAAGAGTTCAGAACGTATAGTTTGTTCTTTATTCTCTGGAACTGGGTGCGTATTGTTTGAACAGGAAATTTGCACTTTGCTTGCACTTGATTTTAAGATCTGGCCATAAGATGAATTTCTATTACTTGTATTCTGTACTTGCTCCAATCCCATTTGAGCATTCTGAGTTTGGAACTCACTTGATTTTGAATACTGATTTTCACCACTATAGCATTCTTCCATTTTAATCTGGCAAAAAAATGATCCTTCTCTTTGCTGATCACTGTGACCTTGGGGATGAGGCAAAGTCTGAGGCATTTGTTCTTTATTCTTCATTTGTAACTTTTGCTGCTGCTGGTTTGGACGAAACTGTGAATTCTGGGATGGTTGTGTTTGTGCTGCCTGTTTATGAGGCTTATGTTGCAAAAGGTGTGAGTTTGAAAATGGCTCAGTCTCTGAAGCCTGTTGATTCAAGGGCTGTTTTAACAATGGGGACATGAGTTTCTCAGTTTGGGGATCTGTTCTTTGTTGAAAATTAAATCTAGGGGCACAAGGTGCCTGCACATGAGCTTCAGTTAAAGGGTCTGTCTTGGAGACATGCACCTGGTGTGAGTTTTTTTGGAACTGGAGATGTTGGTCCACCATACCTTGAGGTTGCCCTTGATTCATCTCAACTTGGTACATTTGTGACTTCTGCTCTGGCCTCATTGTTTTCTGGATGTAAGCTTGCCTCTCAAGCCCTGCAGGTGTGCTGGAATTTCCAGTGTATTGTTTGGAGGTCATTTGATTAGGTTTGGACTGAAACTGAAGAATGGACCGCAGTGATGCCTCATTACATTTTGGATGGGATTCTGCTTGGTGAAAATGAGGGGACTTCAATTCGATCCATCCTGGTTTCAGGTAGTGCTGTGTTGGGAGCGCAAGATCTTGTGTTTGTTTCTTGTCTCGATCCTTCAGCATCTCTTGTTCTTTGTGTCCCATCAATTGCTGGCAGTGGTCCTGTAAATCTCCACTGCTACCAAGAATTGGTGGATGATGCTTGAGATGTTCCGATGTTGGTCTTCTTTTCTCAGGACACATCGGGGCAGTCATTGTCCCTGGCATCAGTAGGCCATTCTTACTAACACAATTATTCTGAGGCTCTTCTGGAAGGATTAGGGAGGGGGTGGATACATGTATAGATGGATTAGGATTCTGTGATGTTGGTACCTCAGGTTGACCCTCCATTTTCACTTCCCTCAAAAGAGTTACGTTACTTTGGTTGGGGTAGTGATGGTGTTCTTCCAAAACTCCATTGTGCAGAGTGCTCTTTCCTTCTGAAGGAAGGTGAGGAAGAGCAGGAGAGAGAGGAGGAAGGGGAGAAAGAAGCAATTGAGATGGTGGTGGTGTGGTAGTGGCAGAGAAGGAATCCTTAGTGAACACTGAGCTTTGCTTGAAGTAAGCACCATTCATTTCATTTTGCTTTAAATACTGTTCAGAGCTGCCACTGGGAGCTTGCATGTTGCTGCTGGGACCTGAACAGAATTCTTCACCAGACACTAGCTTCATGTTTCCTTGGATGTTACTGTTTTCTGAAGAAGATGGGCTTATCTCAAAAGCTGACTTTTGTTGTTGTAGTTGTTCTGGTTTCTGGAAGGGACAGGTACCTAGCACTGCAATCTGTTTACTGGCATTATCAGCATCACAGGCCTCAGTCACCACGGCAGCTGGCTCTGGAGGCAGCTCGGAACTCGAGGTCTGTGGGGAATTGATCTGCCCTGAGGTATGTGATGGGTGAGTGATTTCACAGGACAACTCATTAGTAGCCTGACTATTAATGGCATTTATGTGAGATGTGGTTTTCTGCACCGCAATGGAAACACAATCTGGATAATATTGAGACAGTGTTTTTTCCAGGAGTTCACCGTGTGTGTTTTCCATGGAAGAGGCAGAAACTGTAGCACCATTAGGCATTAGCACTGCCTTGTTTTTAAGAAGTAACTCAATGTTCTTGCCATGGTAGTTGTTAGCATTTTTTTCCTTCTCCTCATTTAGAATCTGAAGCTCTGGATTTTCAGACCCATTGCAGTTATGAGCTGAAAAACTGGTGAAATCTTGAACTGCATTTTCTTGAGTTGTGGAGCTTTCAGATTCTCTCCTACCACTCGAATCGGAGACGTTTGGTTGACTGCTGCTTTCACCTGGATTTCTTTCTTGGCTTTCCCCGAAGTCATTTTTTTCTCCCTTAGCTTTTTGGTCTGCTTTTAACTTCTTGTTATGATGGAGCCTAGAGAGAGATGGTTCACTAACTGTGCGTTTTATTCCTCCATTTTGCAAGTGATTGGAATACCCTCTGTCTTCCTGCATTAAGTCTGGACTTCGGCAAGTACTCTGGCTACCCTTCATATGGGGTATTCCATAACTGTTGAAAGACTGCCACTTGGTGTCTCCATTTACCTCTGGAGGAGGTTTCTCAGTTAGTGGGCTTCCATTCTGGAGCTTTATGGCCAGAGGGTCTGTCTGGCAGATGGGAGAAGGTGATGGAATCAGGAATGGACTTAGTCTGTTGCCGTCAGCATGGTTGATTCTATCCTGTTCCATCAGGCTTGCTTCGGGGCCATCCACAAGGCTGCCCTTTGAATGAATTCTAAAGAGCATAAAAACAAAAAAATTAAAACACATTAATATGTCTAACTCGTAACATAGCAAATAGAATAATTGTATACATTATATAAGAATCCCTAGATATTGCAAACTGTAATACCGGTACCCATTTCTGGTCTTTTGTAGTGAGAATGAATAGCTACTCAGCAACTCTCAAATATTTATAGTCATGGAGAACAAGGATAAGAAAAGTCATCAGCTAACAGAACTCATGTTTTATTAGTTTTTAGTATCAGCTTCCTCCCCAATTAATTGTGCCTATCCCCAACCCTGGGACTGAGCCCAGAGGTGCTTTACTATGGAGCTACAATCCCAGCCCTTCTTATTTTTTTGAGACAGGGTCTCACAAGTTGCCTGGGCTGGCCTTGAACTTACAATCTTCCTGCCTCAGCCCCCTGTATAGCTGCAATCACAGATGTGGGTCATTGTAATCAATGAGGCCCAGGTAACTACTTTTGGTCCAAATACTAAGAATAGAGAAAGATAATCTTTCTATTCTCTAGCACTTCACTTATCCAATCACTTGCTAAGTTCTATCGTTTCTAGTTCCTGTATTTTCCTTGCATCATCTTCACTGCCACTTCATAGCTCATATCTATATCATCTTGGCTCATGATCACAACAGTAGTTTTTAAAATGGTTTCTCCCTTAGTCCACCCTACTCTTCCCCACAAGCCTGTCAACTTGCTGTCAAAGGGAATGTTCTACACTACAATTCTGATGTTATGCCCTCCTTCTCATCCTTACTGGCACCTTGTGGTTTTCAACTCTTCCACTCGAACACACCCGAGAGGTAAGGTACTTTCCCTTCAGCATTAGCAGTACCCTGGGGGCGGGTAGGATGGGCATGAAAGGAGTAGTTCATAAAATGCCCTTTCAAGATAGGAATGTAGCTCAGTGGTAGACAATGTTTTTACCATGAAAGAGGACCTGGATACAATCCACAGCACCAAAACAAAAAGACATGCCCCTTCTAGATGACTTTGTTGTTTTCTATAAGGACTGTCTGTCCACTTCTATAGAGAATTCATACATAAATAAATAGTTTTTCACGGGCAGGTTTCTGTCTTTCCTCCTGATTCCTCTCCCATTTCATACTTAATCAGTAACAGCTTTAAAAAACCCAAACATGGAAAACTTCACCACATCTCTATGCTTTTTTTGTTCTGTCTAGATGCCTTCTTAATCATATCTGCCAATGGCTCACATGATAACTCTCTCAGATATCACTTCTGCTTAGGATTCCTTCTTTGACTCTCTGAGAGTCAACCACTCCCATGTCTATGCTCTTTCGCATCTTGCAGATGGTCGATTACTGGACATAACACTCAGTGGTACTGTGTCTACTCTCACTCAATGGATTCCTGAAGAGTTTCCAATTTGTTCATTTTTGTACCCAATGAAGAGTGAGTATACACATTTGAGACTGATGAAAAATTTAAAGTCCAAATAACAGGGAATGCAGAGGGGTAAATGGGTACTCAAAAATTAACCCATGTATAAGGTGAATGTTTCCCCATTTATGATGTAGTCATTATTTTTCCCAGAGTCTTTCTCATTATATTTATTTTAAGAATGTAAATGGGGTGGGAGATTATTTTCCATCTAGGCTAAAAAAATGCCTCTACTAAAATAGTCATTGCTTATCAAATAAGACAAGTGAAGCAAGAAGAAATAAGAAACATTAGAAAGCAACACTAAGGTCATCATTTTTTTAAGATATTAAGATTATATACTGGTCAGCCAAAATTCACAGGTGATGAGAATTCAGTGAGGTAGCTGAATAAAATATTACAGCCTAGATAAAGAAAAGCAGCTACCTGTTGGAAGCTTTATTAGAATAATATACTGCAGTTATATAATAGAAAAAAAATTCAAAACCCATTAGGAGTAAGAGAAACATGAAAGCTCTATTTGCATAAAAATTTTAAAATAATACTGAGGAACAAACACGAAAACAAAATAAGGGGAAACTATATTATTGGATAGGTGTCAAATAACTCAATGTATTCTCAATAAAAATATTACCAGAATATTTGAGGAATGAAAGAAGCCAATTCTAAACTTTGTGTAGAAAAATAAACTGAATAGGTAGGAATATTCTGAAAAATAACCTTAATGGGGGTTAATGGGACAACAGTTTTATTCAAACAAGTCTTCCAAATTTCTTTTCAAGCTTATTCCTATTATTTTAATATACTTTATTCCTAGTGTTCTACAGATACCTTAATTTCCTTAGATGATTTGGGATACTTCCATCTGAAAACACAGGTAACAGCTCATTCATTTAACATCTACATGACATATTTTTTTGCTGTCCCATAACTTAACATATTACTTATTTAAATAAACAAATAAATAAATACTGTTTTGATTACCTGGGATTGAACTCAGGGGTACTGGGCACTGAGCCCCAGCCCAAGCCCTATTTTCTATTTTTTATGTAGACACAGGGTCTTACTGTGTTGATTAGTGCCTCACTTCTGCTGAGGCTGGCTTTGAACTCAAGATTCTACTGCCTCAACCTCCTGAGCTGCTGGAATTGCAGGCATGCGCTACCACACCCAGAAACATATTCTTTATTGATGGACACTTTGGTTGTTCTTAAACTTTTGCTATTGCTAATAAATATGTAACAAAAATGGTCATACTACCTACAAGAAAAAGAATGAGCAGCTGAAGAATTACACCGAAAGGAAGACTGCTCTTGATTCTTTGTAAAATAAATTATAAGCATGTGTATTTCTAAATAAGTAAAATTGAAACTGAAATTTTTGCTTGGTCTATTTCTTCCCAAATATTGAGAGGGGCTAGTATACATCATCCAATACAGTCACCAAGTCACACGTAGCTTTTGAGCCCTTGCAATGTTGCTAATCCAAATTAAAAATTACTTTAAGTGTAAAAAATGGATTTCAAAGATTTAGTATGAAAAATAATTTTAAAATCTCAATTTTAAAAATATGCATTACATATTAAAATACTACTACTTTTGATATATTGGGCTAAATAAAATATATCATTAAATTAATTCCATTTCTTTTTACTCGTGAATATTGGAAAGTTTTCAATTCCATATATGGCTTGCACAAGAATTCTGTTCAATAGATTTGGGCTAGAATAATACTCTTAATCATCAATAACCCCTAATAAAGAGTAGGTTTTAGAAGTGTGGAAATTTGTACTCTTTTGACATAATAGACTTTGTGGCCACTACTCCCTTCCCCAAATTGAGAAGAACAGAAGCAAGCTTAGATAAATTCTATAAACACTAGGTTGATTAGCTCTCCAAATATTTTTTTAAAAGTTCTTTTGACAACTATAAAACCAGTTTGTATAGAGACCAATGAAAAGATATTTACATCTACATACATGTGTAAATTTATGACAAGTTACACAAATAAAACTTAGAGACTCTATACAATGCAAGTTGTCCTGCATGATTTTCTAGGGATAAAAATATTTTAAGCACTCAATGTTATTCTCCATTATTTTGGATATCTTTAAAGTATCAAGAGCAAAATTATAATAGATGGGGCTTGCAAATTTTTTATGAATATAATAATTCCTAAGAAGAAATGAAGGTGACTTATGATAAAATTTTATTTCAATGCAGAATTTTAAACATAATAGTCATTTTCAAACACTAATTTAAACTTATTGACAGAATGCTGTCTTTGGCAGTAATTTTTTTTCCTAAGTAATACCACTGGATTTTAAAGGGTTAGTGGTGGTTAACTCTCTAGGAAAGGCAGGAAAATTATACACTTTCCCATTTTAGGATGAAAGATAATCTGTCATTGAGTTCCATTTGTCTATGAATCTCATTCAGAAAATTTAAACTGTCATTTTAGTAAAGTTAATGATTTCTTTGACTTCAGTGTCCTAAACTCCACTTTTTTAATGCTTAACCTTGATATTCTATAATTTCATAACCATTTGACACAGTGCTTTTTTGATTACTTATTACTTTTATATGGATAAGCATTATAAAAAATGAGACTTCTTCATTTTGTTTTTTGTAGAAATATTCCATATTCTACCTGCCAGATTCATATAGATTTTTTCAAGCTGACAAAAGTTAATTATTGTATAAGACAAAAAAAACTTTGGAGGTTCTATTTTGTAGCTATTTTCCTGCTTAACAGTAACAATGGAATTAGGTTATTTGTCGACAAATTTAAATGATTGCAAAAAAGGCAACATTAAAAAAAATAAAATAAGTTTCAGATGGGTTAAAAACACACATGGGTATAAATTTTTTTTTTTTTTTTCTGTGACATTCCTTAGTCCCTTTTCTGTTGCTAACAATAGTCCGACAGACTGGGCGAGTTATAAAGAGGCTTACTTTGGCTCTTGGTTTTGTTGCAAGTTAGAGTGGCTGCATCTGGATGACCTTCCTTCTGGCCAAGTCTGAAGGTAGCACAGGTATCAAGGTGAGAAACAGGTTTTTCTCCTTCTCTTATAAAGCCACTATTACTATGGGGTTCCACCTCAATGACCTTATCTAATCTTAATCACTCCTGTTGGCCCTATCTCTAAATACCTCACAATGAGTATTAAACTTGAACATGAGTTTCGCAAGGGAAAAACCACACCAATTCCATTTACTTCTCTGAAATTGAGAATACAAAGAGTTTGAGTTTATTTATTTTTGAGCTAAGGACTCACCAAGTTGCTTAGGGCTTCACTAAGCTGCTGAGGCTCTCTGGCCTCAAAGTTGCAGTTCTGCCTCAGGCTCCCAGGTTGCTGGGATTACTGGTGAGAATCACCATGCCTGGATTTATTTTCTGATACTGAAATCAAACTTTCACATTTTCCTACACCATAGAACATAGAGTATACAAAACTAATTAGGACTATTCCCCTTGCAAGTGAATATTTAAACACTTTTAAAATACTCAATTTTACTTAAATATTGGAACTGCATACATGGTAATTCACTGTATGTAAAATAGTTTGTCAAGTAATGGGTTATATACA